TATTCAAGGTCACACTAGGAAGGATCTAGACCTGACTACAAGTCCGTAATCTTGTCAACACAGCCTGTTGCTTCATAATACAATTTATAAAATATCTGGATCCATGTCCAACACACAGTAGGTGCTAACCTCTTTAAACGAATTCAGGGCTTCCTTTTTTTTAGATAAATAATTGATGCTTTTCCCAAGCATGTCCATGGCCCGTGCCTGTGGAGGAATGTCATGGCTTCCGCCTGGGTGAAAAACGCAAGATTAACTCTCAGGCTTTCGTCGGGAAGAAGAGCCCCACCTCTCTGGTCTGTTGTCCAAAGCGTGTATTTTCTGTATCTTTTGCAAAACTGCAATTGGAGATATCGTGTCCTTATAGAAATTCCTTACGTAAGCATGGTGCCACGTGTCCATTACATAAGTAACCGTGACACACATTCTTCCTCAAATCCAGTACAAAGGAAAAGTTTATCTCTACAGGACAAACGTCTATATTTTCTTCTGTAACTGGTAACTATGTAACCCATCACATTTTCCTCCTTCCCTTAGCTTTCTAGTTACAACCTAATTGCCTGATACCCATGATTAAGTCAGCTCAGGTCCCAGTGACATGCTTCTTTTAATTGGTCTTTATTTTCAGTTGGTCCATGTGAATTTTTTTGTTGTTGTTATTTTAGGAGCTATGTTGCATTCAGCTTCAACACTTTAAAACTTTTAGGAATAGGCTGTACATATTTATTTGTATACCTATTTATCCTGGATCACTACCATGGGGGGAGAATGTAAAAAAAGCCTTCGTTCATGTTCTGTGTGTCCCAGAGGACAGTGTGGTCCTGACGTAACTGGATTCCAAATGGCAGGATGATGGGGTCATGTGAAGGGAAAGTCTTACCTTGTGCTCTCCTCCTCCCAACTGAACCTTCCCTAATTCTTCATGGGAGGTGGAGCTTCCCTTTGTTCTCATAGTGTTATCATGGAGCCACTGAGCCTGTGGCTATGAAGTAGTGACCTTAAGCTTAGGTTATCGTCAGATATCATAAGGTTCTCAGGAAACTGTCTCTGAATAAATGATCTGAGGAGGAAGAATCCTTGTGCTCATGCACCTTTGCAGCTCCTGAGTATGGCAGGATTAAGTCTGTGAAGGAATTGACAAGATTGACTTGAAAAAATTGTTTCACACTCCTGCTGACTTCTGCCTGTCTCCCGCCCACTCGGCACCGTAGCCCAAGAACGTTGTCTGGAGCCCAGCTACACCTGAAGAGGGCTCTGCGTGGAGATTGGCTGAGGAAGTATGAAGCTCACCTGGACCCTGGGTTGAGGCAACTTGGCCCTTTTTTTCAAGGGGAACTTATTCCTTTTCAGGGGAAAAATTTACTTAGTCTTTTTCTGACTTCACAGCACTGCGTGGGGCACTTACTTATTCCTGTATCCCTCGGTAGAAATTTGAGGAATGAATACATCAGTGAGTCAGGAGGCATGGAACCCATTCATGGTGCATCCGTAGAGGGCTGCTCTGTGCAGTTCAGGACCTGAACATCCTGTCTGATTGTATATCATTCCAGGAGTGTGCAGTTCCCCACCCTCTCCCTCACCCCTCCTGTCTCCTCTGAAGCCAAGGAAGCTGGGTGCTCCAGGCTCATGCCGAGCATCACTAGCAATGGCTCCTATGATTGGAGAAGTGGGAAGAAGTCTGGTGACCCAGCTTTTCAGAAACTGATTGTGACTCTCTGAAATGACCCGCACTTGATGGTGTATTGTCGTGTACATTTAGGTGCACTCCAGGGATTTCATCCCTCAGTCTCCAGCATCTGATGAGATATGGAGAAACCAGTGTCTACAAGTTTTGTACCTTTCATTCTCACCAAAACCCAAAGCTTTCCTGGGTCTGGGCATCATTCTGACTTCTCCAGCCAGCATGCAGGGAACATGTATCTTGCAGAAGGGATTGGAGTATGTCAGGAATATTTCTTCAGCTGAAGAAATAAAGTTTCTGTTAATGACTCCCACCAGGACAGCCGTGAATTTCAGACTATCTGATGAAAGGTAATTGTCTGATGAAGAAATGAAACGGAACTAACACTCCAGCTTACTACAGGAGAGAATGGTGGGTAGATAGGGGGATATATTAGAAAGTGGTCATGATAAATTATTCTCCTTTTATTTGAGATTTAAATGCCCAGGTCATTACCTTTAAAGTTAGTCATGTGCATAAATTAAGCCACTGCCTTGAAGTGGTCTTTAACACACTTTTATTAAAGTACAATAGATTTTGCAGTAGTTGGAAAGAATTACAGTGCCTCTAACACTTTGTCAATGGAAAGTCAAGAACAAACAGCATGGCTCTGGAGTTATGCCTGGGTTTGAATCCTAGCTCTGCCACTTAATGTTGCTTTTGTATTTTTTTTGAGACGGAGTCTCGCTCTGTCACCCAGGCTGGAGTGCAGTGGCTCGATCTTGGCTCACTGCAAGCTCCGCCTCCCAGGTTCACGCCATTCTCCTGCCTCAGCCTCCTGAGTAGCTGGGACTGCAGATAACTACCACCACGCCCGGCTAATTTTTTTTGTATTTTTAGTAGAGACAGGGATTCACCATGTTAGCCAGGATGGTCTCGACCTCCTGACCTTGTGATCCGCCCACCTCGGCGTCCCAAAGTGCTGGGATTACAGGCGTGAGGCAGCGTGCCTGGCCCATGTTTCTTTTTTTACACTGGACAAATTATTTAACCTCTCAGAGACTCAGTTTTCCTCTGATAAAATGAGGATAATATAAGATTCTTACAAAATTTAAATGAGAAATATGGAGTTCCTGACACACATTAGATACACAGTAAATATGAGCTACCTTCCCTCGTCATCTGTGAATTCCACTGTAGTTATAAAGGCCAAATCCAGAGTCCTTGGTACTTCACTCAAGACCATGAGAATAGCCCAGTTAGAGCTACCCCAGTAATATCTAAGGGAATAAAGAACCCCAGTTCCATGCTGAATGAGAAGAGAATTCTCAAAGTGACATCCTGGAAGTAAGAATGAACTTTTTCTCTGTGTAGGGGAGAAGACAGCCTTAATAGGTCTTTTTAGCCATGGAAGCCTGGCAAGTCATTTTCAGGCATCAGCTGTGGGAACATGTCCCGCCTCAACTCTGTCTAACCCTCCCTACAGAGTCCAGGGTCAACTCAGAAGCTGTGATCTTCTCTTTGGAGGAATGGCTCTTTTTTGTGATGGTATCACTTTCCCTCTCTGGATGGATCGTCGATGGGGCTTTCAGGACAGCAGTTGGGAGTGAATTCTGCTCGGAGCAGCCTACACAGTGTGTTACTGGCTGGGGGAAGTTTCGTAGGAGAAATCATGTCTTCCCTTTAACCACTTTTTCCTCCTCAGAATTGAAATAAGCAAAAGAATTCGCCATCCCAAGAGACGAGTAGTGTGGAAGTGAATGAATGGAGTAAAATTGTGTTTCCTGATTTATTAAGACTCCTCACGATAATTTACCTCTGCAGTCAGATTTGCACAAGGGGACTTCA